GGTTTTAATAGTTACTTTCATGCATCCTTTCAATAAATCCTCCCCATAACACTCCAAGGTAGGTATTATTTTCATTTGACAGATAAGGAAAATGAAGCACAGAACCTGAGTGACCAGCTCAAGATTCCTTGGCAATTAAACAATGGAGACAAGCTTAGGCAAGTTGCTTGGCCTCCCTAAGCCTCAATCCCCCTATTTGTAAAACATGGATAAAAATAGCATCTATGTTTTCAACAGGGATGGAATGCAAATCCATGTGTGAGGCACTTAACACCATGCCTTACCTAGAGTGAGCCTGGTACCCAGCCTTAGCTAGGACTACTGCAATAGTCAGAGTCCAGGTCTTTCAACTCCTGGTCCTATGCCTTTTCCGCTACCCGCGTGGTGTCTTAAATGGTCAAAATAGGGACCCCAGTGCTGCTGGGATTCACAACCATGGCCCTAAACCCTAAAAACATAGCCCAGATTATTTTTAACATAATTGGCTTTGTCAACACCTATTAAGATCTTAAGCTGCATCGTAAAGACAGATTATTCTAAATGAGGGAAGTTACGGTTCCTGTGACTTATGCACCACTCACACGGTCCTGGGGCCGTTGTGCAGATTGCTGAGCTCTACATTCGAATAGGAGCATTGCCATGTCAGATGATATCCAAAAGAAAGTGGTGAGGGGTCCAGGAACCACATCAGAGTAGACTTGTTGAAGGAACTGGGGATATTTGGCCTGGAGAAGACAAGACTCACGGACCATATTCATTCATTCACGTGTTCATTCGTTCTACATTTACTGAGTACTTGCTCCATGTGACACGTTGCCGGTACAGCCAGCAGCCAAACAGACAGAATTTCTGGTCTCATGAACCCAAATCTAGAGAGGATTCACATGGAGTAATAGAGGATGTCATGTGAAGAATTAGCCTCATTTTGGCAGAACTCTTTAATTGGGCACAGGCAAGAGGGCAGGGATGGCTGGCTCAAATGTGTGAACTCCTTACTGCTAGGTGTATCGTAAGTCTAGAAGCCTACTGGGAGGTTTTCAGAGGGGATTCAGGAAGGGGCCAGGGTGGGCCAGAGTGTAGCAGCTTTAGTTCCCTTCAAGCCTAGGCACCATGGATATCAACATTGCCCAGACTGCTCTGGGAAGGCCCTCAGGAGTTGCCACTTATCCTGTGGGGGAGAAAAACAAGGACCTAAAACTCCTTGGTCTCTGGCTTCTTTTCTTGAGCCTCCATGTTCTTGATGCATCAGTGATACTGTGGCCCTTTCTCTTCCTGTCACAGAGAATTCTTCTGAACAGTGTCCCTCAGCAGAACATAAGGGGATTGGCAGCAAAATTCTTTAGTACAGGATGCAGATTTTTCAAAAGCCCATTATAAAAAAAAAAATTCATTTCCATTGTAGCTAATTCTGAAGCAAAATATAAGCAACAAAGCTAAGGGAACAAAAATCACCCAAAGATAATCATGGCTAAGACTATTTCCTTCCATTTTTTCCTGTTTAGGATTTTTTTTCAGTACATATGATCACACCAGATCCTGCCTTTTTTTTTTTTTTTTTTTTTTTTTGTAGCTGATCCTGCTTTTTCATTTAGGATTACTTGAAACAAATCTGTCTTTAAAATTATTATAAGCTCTTCATTATAATCCTTATTGACCTATATAATTATATTATTATTACATAACATTATATTGAGTAAATAGACCATAGTTTACTTATTCCTTCTCCTGTCATTGGCCACTCCCAATCTTTGATACTATTCGGCACGAGGTGGAAGTCCATACATGATACCAGCGTGGGGGGAATAAAGGAGGAAATGGTATGGTCTGTGGGGAGGAAGGAGGTTGGCACTGGGTGGGGGGAGAGTATGATCACTGATAAAAAAGAAGCAGAGGAAGTGACATAGACTTAAAGACCCACAGATGTTCCCTGGGTAGACCAGAGAGGAAAGCGCATTTGCGGTGTCTGAGAGGTCCTCTGCAGGGGCCAACGCCGGCTTCCCACTACCGGAGACCAGCTGCGTGACCATGGAAAAGTAACTTCTCTGAGCTTCATTTTCCTACCTGTATATCACAGTGTGGCTGAGAGAATTACTTTAAACTGGTAGAGAGGAGGATCAAATTGAGATAACATGTGCGAAGTGCTTCAATCCATGCCTGATTCTCAGCATGTGCCCAACACAGGCCAGCTGTGCCAGATTGTCTCTTGGCAACTCAGGGCCATTTTTGCCCTTCTAAGTTCCCCTTATAACATGGGGGTTGGAAGCCTAGCAACTATGTCTTAGAAAATTCCTACTCCTGGAGTATGTTGCTCTACTAGGGCTGCCCTAACCAAGGACCCCAGGCTGCGTGCTTTAAATGATAGAAATTTATTTTCTCACAATCCTGGAAGCTGGAAGACTGAACCCAAGGTATCAGCAGAGTTGGCTTCTTCTGAGGCCTCTCACCTTGGCTTGCGGGTGGCCACCTTCTCCCTGTGTCTTCACATGGCCTTCCCCTTGTGGGTCCATGTCATAATCTCTTCTTATAAAAGGACACCAGCCATACTGCATTAAGTTAGCACCCATGAGACCTCACTTTATGTTAATTACGATTCTTCTTTAAAGACCCTATCTCCAAATATAGCCACATTCTGAGGTATTGGAGGTTAGGACCTCAACATGAGAATTGGGTGGGTGTCCGAGTTTAGCCCGTAACACAGAGGCTGGATTAGAGCCCTACATGCAATAGTTGAAAGGCAGAAGAGAAGCAAAAGCCATTGTCTTGGTCTTGGGCAGGTGATAGACACTCTTTCTAGTGTCTGCAGTTTCCAGGCATCCTCTTGAAAATCACCCACTTGGCAGCTGCAGATAAGCTAGATCATTAGGGAGAGTTTTCCTGTGATTCCTGTACTTCCTGCTTCCCTGAACACTGGCAGGAATTTTCCTAAACTTTTTCTCCCAGATCTTCTAACAGCTTTGCAAGCATCTAATTTCCTGTGTAGTATTCATTCCTGTTGGAGATACCTGCAGTGGTTTTTGATTCTGACTGAATCCTGAAGGCTACAGTAGCTATTATGTATGGTGATGTGGGATGGTTGGCGAGTAGAGTTGCAAGAGACTCATTGAAGAGAACAGGGTGGCAAGCCACAGATGAAAAGATTCTGGAGAAATCAAGGATAGGATACGTGGAATTTATCCTATGGTCTAAGACATTATGGACTTTTCCCACTAAAACATCCCTCGATGGCAGAAAAGAATACACTTTTACTCCCATGGGTTCTGACAGCAGCTGCTACAAGAAAATTCTTTGAAATGTTTTAATGTCACCCTAATTTCTCATCTTGATCTATAATATATTCATTTGTTTTCATGTAAGATAATATTTGTAATTATTAGCCATCAAGTTAAAATCAACATTCTAGAGTGATGTTGTTTATCCTACGGTTTTGAGCACAGTCTAGACCCGGTCACAAACAACAGTTTGAGAAGCAGAGCCCAAGGCAATATGGAAACACTGAATCGTTTTGAGGAACAAAGTAACATAAGGCAATTGCTTTTCTGAATGGTTTATGGGCCGCTGTGTGGAGGGTGGAAGGAGACAAACATGTAGGCAGGGCAAGCTGTTAGGCTATTGGAATAACCCAGGTAAAAAATGATAAGACACTGAAGTAGGACCCTGGCAGTGAGATTGAAAAGACAGGAGCCAATACAGGGGACTAAGAGAACTTGAGTGGTCATTTTCATCTCGGGGCTTCAGCAGAATCAACAGGTTGAACCATCAGACAACCAAGATCCTTCCCTGCCTAGAGGTGTAGGTGTAGGTATAGGTGCAGAAGCATGGCGGGGAAGGAGGTGCCCAAGGCTCACAGGGAAATCCCATGAGTGGTACCACCCACCCCTGACACCTTCTTGATTCCACCCCTTCTGGGGCTGCTGAGAGGCAGCTGGCCTGGGTGAGGGGGATACAGAGCCTACACTTTAGGCCGGTATGGTGATTTCTTTCCATTTGTCTTTATTTTATGTGCTTGCCTTTAATCTATCATAAATATTCATGGTTTATTTCACTCAAACACTGACTTCATTCAAAGAAGACTTTTGCTGCTAGTTTTTCAATGAGACAAAATTTTATAGCTTTGTTGGTTTTAAAGGAGAAGAAGAAATTCTTGATATAAGGAGCAGTGATATTTTGACAAAGGTCTCTAGTAATTTCCAATTCTAATCCAATTCTCACTCTAATGTTACCTGACATATAGGAAGCACTCAATACACATTTGTTGAATTACCAAATGAATGAATAAATGGCAAGTGACATATTTCAATGCATTCAAACACTTCTGATAGCAAGCCTTCCCTTACATTATCTGTGTGACCTTACATTGTCTTGGCAGTTCAGCCCACAATTTAGAGCCTTGTTCATACATGTGCTGTTCCCTTGGCTTATAATGCCCCTTGCATCTTAATCCATCTGGAAAAACGTCTTTTCATTTGTCACAACTCAACTTAAATGTCACGTTGCCAGAGAAGAGCATAACTGTGTAAGACGAACACAAGCATTTAGAGTCAGATAGAACTGGGTTCAAATCTGGGCTCTCAAACATACAGTGGGAGAGTATCCCAAGAGTCCTTTCTCATAAATGTTTGGTCTATTAGATGATAAGTAAAACAGAAAGAAAATTATTTCACCAAATCCAGCCATCCTTTTCCATGGCTGTGAACCATTTTTCTGTAGGCAGTCCAACCTGGTAACAGCACCAAGTCTCATGTTTAGCTTTGCTGAATGTCTCAAACTGCTGCCCACATGGAAACATGTCATAGGCTGGGTAGCAAATATACTTGGTGGCACAAAATCTCAGCCATATACTGGATTTACCAGAACTTTAACTCCAACCAATTTCTGGATTTTATCTGGGTCAAACATGTTCACCAAGCTTGTGTATCACTGTGCTGGAGGGGTCCATACTTAGGGTAGACCAAAGCTGGGCAGTGAGACTCAGAAAATTTGAAAACTCTCTTTATTCCCATTCTGTTATTCAGAGATTAGTGAGGAATTCAGACCAAGACTGGCAAACCAATTGAAAGGGTAGAACCTCTCATCACTCCACCAAACCCACACCTTCTCTTTGTGCCTGAGTCGATCTGGTTGGTGCACCAAATGTGGCTCATGATCCATTTCACTCATTGTCAATCTCTTGGCCTTTGAGTTCACAGAAGTGTTCAGCTGCCATCTTTACTCTCAAGCTGGTTTTCCAGAAGAAACCCAGAAAAACTTGAATGTTATTTTTGTCATGGCACATCTGGAGGACTAAATAAAATAAAATGGCTTAAAGGGCAGACCTTGAAACAAACTTCAAAATGATACCAAACCTGCTTATATCCAATGTGACTTTCACATTGCAAGGTCAGCATCAATAAGATCATACTGTACCACAAAACAATTTTTGAGACACGTTAGATTTCTGTCCTTGGGCAAGCCTTCTAATCTTCCTTGGCTTCAGTTTCCTCATTATAAACTGTGAGTAGTAATCCCTACTGTGGGATCTCAGTGGGGTGTATTAACATACCTGGCACACAGTAGATGCTCAGTAAACAATGGCTACAATCACGCATCCCAAAATTCCACCTTTCACAGAGTATACTTTCTTCTTTGGTACCATGCATACAGAATGTCTTCACCTATTAAGTGGGCAAAATGATACCAAATTCATAGGATTGTTAGGGCTAAATTAGATAAGACACATAAAATTGCAATCTCATCACGATTCCCATTTGCATTATCCTAAAATCTAACGTGCTTCCATTAGAGTTCTGATCACTGTGTAAGTTTTCATTCCCTATCTATGCTGTTCATACAAGTACACATTCTTTGAGTTTCTCATGCATGTCTTAGGGGAGGATGGGTGACTAATATGTGTTGGGTATCTACCACAGGCCAGGCCTGTATGGGGTGTTTTTGACACACTATCTCCTTGGTCCTTTCCCCAGCCTCCGTAAGGAGAGTTGGATCCCAACACTAGGTGAGCATACTGATGTGATGTTATGAAGATCAAGGCCCTTAGACCAGGTGTGATGCATGCTCTTTGCATCACTCTGTAGCTTGAGTGAGGCCAACGCAGACATTCAATAAATGTGGAAGAATGCTCCTGTGGATGATGAGGCCCCTGGACCAATGCTGAATGTCGGCTAAGGCTCAGCACATGAGAGCAAGCACTCTGGGGCCAAATTGCTTTGGTTCTTCCACATTCCAGCTCTCTGCCTTTTGACAGGCTCTTAACTACTCTGTGCCTCAGTTTATATAAATTGCAAAGTAGAAATCATAATAGCATCGACCTCCTATGATTGTTCACTTTGAGAATAAAATTAAATAGTATATGTAGATTGTTTCATACAGTGCCTGGCATATAATAAGTGTTCAATAAATGTCTCTCTTAAATAATTAGTCTCAGAAACCCTGAGGGGCACTGCTGGAGAGACTCAGGAAGCTGCCCCTTGAACTGTGGTAGGCAAGGGCCTCAAGAGCCTGCAGAAGCTTGGATGCTGTTGCCGATGGGAAGTGAGGCCCATTTGCAGCTGCAATGGCCTCACAGCTAACAAAGGACGGTGTTCATTTCCTTCAGAAGTTGTTTTGCTCTCTTTCCAAGGCTGTAGGGCAACTGCAGCTTTAATAGGAAGCTCTCTGAAGCAGTGAGTCAATAGTCACTCATCCTAGGAGGTGATTCACACGCCACAGTGTGTGGTCCACAAATGGTGTGGGGGTGGTACCTCTTGGGGAGAGACTGATGTGCCCCTAAATGAGTTGTTTGTGATCACAGGCTGCTCACGAGCAGACATGGGAACAGATGCGCCAATTAAGCCCTCATCATGTCCTCTCCACACTCCTTCAGGAGGGGCGCACGTGTTGCTCGAAAAGATGTTGAACTTGGGCATAAGAAATGTGATTGCCCACAACCCCCAGGCCTCTTCAAAATGAGGGCTGGTGAAGATTCAGAATGGGGAACTGGAGGTTTGGATGGTTTCAAGACTTGTGCTGTTCATCCAGAGATAAAATGAGAGAATCCTGAAAAGCTGGCCGGAGAGGAATTTTGGAGCTGAGCACAACGCCAGTGGGGTGAGAATCTTGTCCCTAAATTTTTACTAAATGATAAAAATTTTATCAAGATAAAAAAATAATTAACCTATTATTTATCTGTTTCTTCCAAAGGACTGTGCATGTTCTAGGGGTTCTGTGAATCATATTCTGTATCCATCACAGCCAAGAGGGCTGCATTGGCTGTGCCAAAATACCTGGGTCTGGAGTGGAGCTCTGGACAGCTACAGAACCCCTCAGTGCCTCAGTCCCTTGACCCATAATATGGGAACTCTGAATAATACCTACCTGATAGAGTTGTGAGCATTAACTCATCTAATGCAGTGCTATTCAAAATGGGATCCATCCCCCAGAGCTCATCTACAAACTTACCAGTCCTTTGTCAGTTAAGAACAAAAAGTAAGAGTAACCTTCTGGGAACCTTTATCCCAATTGCTCATTATAGCAACAGTTTTATTATATTTTACAAAAGCATCAGTTTGTAGTAGATAAAACTTTTTTTTTAAACTCGCTCTTCATCACAGTTTGAGAACCACTAATCATGTACATCTTAAAATGTAGATGTGTTGCAGTATCTATTTATTAAAATTCATATCATTTTGTTATAAAGACCTTCCTTTTACTTCTCCTCTATGCTTATCTTTGAATTTCATGGGTCAGTAGTATGATTTCCATTTCAGGATTTTTAAAAAAAAAAAGATAGTTAAAATGTTTATTATTAAAAGTGGGTGTTGTAGAGTGTTCTTAACTCCACTGATGTAGAACTATAGTAAACATTAGGATTTGGGATTTGATTCCAAGACACAGTGAGAGAGACTTAGGATTCTAAGTGGGAACACTGGCAACATGGTGAGGGAGGGGCTTCTATGAAATCTCATCCTCCAGCAATGTGGTACCATGGTAGGCCCTCCTCCTTGGTTCTGCCGTTGGAAAAGCCCTCTTGATGAGCTCTGGGTTGAAAGTAGTCTTTCCCATCTTACAGCACATTTAATAAGGTAGAATATGGGCTTTGCTCAATATCAACTCATTAATTTTAGACAAGAGCAAATACTGGGCCAGGGCAACTGTGACAAAAGTGATTATTTTAAAATCTACCAGTTCGGGGTGCCTGGGTGGCTCAGTTGGTTGAGCGTCTGACTTTTGATTTCAGCTTAGGTCATGATCTCAGAGTTATGAGATTGAGCCCTTTGTCAGGCTCTGCACTCAGAAGGGAGTCTGCTTGAGAATTCTCTCCTTTTCCCTCTGCCCCTCCCCCTGCTCACACTTTCTCTCGGTCTCGCTCTAAAATAAATAAATAAATCTTGAAAAAAAGAAAAGAAAAAAGAGAATCTACCAGCTCACAGGCATTTAAGGTGCCCTTTCTTTTCTCCTCTATAAAATGAGAGATTCAAAATAGATGTATGATAGTGTAATGTAGCAGAAGGAACAAAAACTTCGGAATCAGGCATAACTGGGTTTGATCTTTCACTCTGCCACCAACTGATAAACAAATCACTTAATATCTCTGGGCCTCAGCTTCCTCACTAGTAAAATGGGGATAGTAACACTTACCTTACAGGGTCTTTGTGAGAATGAGCAGTGATGCTTGCCGTGTACCCTTGACATAGAGTATTTCAGTAATTGTTAGCTGCCATTTCCCTGCTCTCATGTTTCCATGAAGGAAATCCTGAGAAGTAAAAATTAAGGATGGTCACAAATATGTAGCTATTCTTCTCACTGAGAGGCAGAATCTAGTTCCCCTCCCCTTGAATCTGAGCTGGGCTTGGTCACTTACATGACCATAGAATGTAGCAGAAGTCACGTTCTAGGACTTGCAAAGCTAGGTCATAGGAAACCTTGCAGTTTTCACTGAGGCTTCTTGGGAAACTTGCCATGGGGGAAGCCGTGTGCAATGTAAGTATCTGGTTATTCTGTCCTCCATGCTTTGAGGAAGCCCAAGCTACAAAAGTAGAGAAGGCAGTGGAAGAGAAATGTGCCAACCAGTTTCCAGCTGGCCAGTCATCTGGCCCAGGTGCCAGACATGAAGAAGTCCTCAGATAATTCCAGTGCCAGCAGCTATCTCTGACAATAGCCACCTGAAGGACCCTAAGCAACAACTACCCAGCTGAGAGTCAACAGACAGAACTGTAAGAAAAAAATACTGCCGGGGTGCCTGGGTGGCTCAGATGGTTAAGTGTCTGCCTTTGGCTGAGGTCATGATCCAGGGTCTGGGATCAAGCCCCACATTGGGCTCCTGACTCAGGGGGGAGCCTGCCTCTCCCTCTCCCTCTGCCTCTCCCCCTGCTCATGCTCTCTCTCTCTCTCTCTCTCTATCTCTGTGTCTCAAATGAATAAATAAAATCTTTTAAAAAAATACTGCAGTGTGGAGTCGTTTGTTAAGCAACAGTAAAAAGCTAGAACATTCTGCTAGAGCAAAATTTCTGGTCTTTCCACCCCTTACTAACATACGAGTGATTGATGGTTTGCCAATAGTTTAAACTCCATTAGCTCACAATCCTGTACTGGCCAGGAGTAAGGTATTCAAGTCGCTGTTCCCACATGGCCTGCCTTTGTTTCCCATTTTGTAATCTGTGAGCATTCTCCTCCTTCTCCTCTGTGACAGGGGTGGCTCTTCCAGGGATGGGGGGGAGGAGGCTGCTTGCCTCATTGATCTTGCCTGTGACTGGGTAGGTAAGTGGGAGGAAGTCAATTTGGCTTCATATTGAGGTTGACTTTCTCCAGTCTAGATCTGAAATTTTGATGTTCTTCTCTTTGACTCAACTGGTTCAGAACCAATGGTGGGAAGTGTTGGGACTGGCACCTCAGAGAGACCCCAATCTCCCTTACATTTCTGACATTCTGTAAAGCAGATAGTTAGGTACCAGGCAGGTTCCTAACTTGCCTTGTACCCTTGCTTATATGGAACTCTTGCATACATTGTTAATAACGTGTTTAATTTCCCCAAACTTACAAACAAGCTAAAGCAATTATAATCATGGTTAATAAGTTTCTGGTTTTATCTTGACACTTTTGATGGTTTGGTTACATGACTTCTCACCAAGATCATGACAAAAACTTTCTACCAAAGCCAAGCTGATAAACAGAGCCCTGGAGACTGCCATCATATCCTGTACACGATTCAAACATGACTTCTAATTTCCTCAGCCCCTGGAAAGATGACAGCGTACATCTGCTTTATTAAATTCTGATGGGCCTTCATTATTTTTTTTAGTTATTGTTTTATTGCTTCCAATCATTCTTCTTGCTCAGGACATAGAAAGAGAATAGAAATCCTGTTAAGGTGACAAATAACTGTGTTTTTCTGCCCCCTCTCCATGACGATGTTAATTCATCCATTCATCCAACCATCCAGTCATTCACTCAGCATGTCTTTATTGGGAGCCTTCTCTGAACCGAGACCTGCGCTGAGTCCTGGACATTTAAGTGTAAGTGAGATACTTGCAGGCCCCTTCCTCAAAGGGAGTGCATCTAGTGATGGAGCAACTCAGCAGACAACAGCAATGCTGTATAATGAGTGTCACAACACGGAAATACATATACCCATACACATTCTTCTGAGGGAAGAAAGCAGAGGCACTGAGGACACCATCCTCCGATACCCATCTCCTTTGAGTATTCAAGTTTAAGCACAAAATTTGACATTTTTTGTGACTCAGCCCATGGATGAATTTCACCATTGCATTTTGTGTCCTTCATGCACCTCATTTACAAAATTTTATGCAACAGAATTGCTGGAGATGGAAGATCAGTGTCTAATAACTGGAATATTATTAACAGTGATTGCAACATACATTATCTTAGCTAAGCCCCACCACAGCCCCGTGAGGCGGCCTATCATACCTGTTGTATAGAGACCGCTACAGGTTAGGTAACTTGCCTTTGCAGAAACAAACTGTGAAAACAGGTTTGTACGAGTCCAGTTCCATCCTCTCTCTATCATATTGTGTAATAGAAAAATATCTACAGAAAGAGCAACTCCACCACTCACATTTTGTCATTAAAAAATAATAAAACCTTTATTGGGGAAACATAACAAAAAGCAATAGGAAGAATGTTAGTGGTCTAATAATATTCAGAGACAAAAAGCAGGTGTTATGGGCTGAATGTTTGTGTCCCCCCAAAATTCTCAAGTTGAAGTCCTAGCCCCCAGTATGATGGTATTTGAGGTGGAACCTTTTAGCCGGTGATTAGGTTTATATGAGGTCAGAAGGGTGGGACCCTCATGATGGGATTAGTACTTTTATGAGATAAGGAAGAGAAAAAGATGGATCTCTCTCTCTCTTTCCTTCTCTCTCTCTCTCTCCCTCTCTCTCCAGGAATATGCACCAGGGAAAGGCCATATGAAGATGCAAGGAGAAGGTGGCTCTCCCAGTCACCAAATCTGCCAGCACCTTGATCTTGGACTTCCCAGCCTCTAGAACTGTGAGAAATAAATGTCTGTTGTTTAAGGCACTCAGTCTATGGTATTTTGTTATAACAGCCCAAGCAGACCATTACAACAGAATATGAAATTCAATATAATCATAACTATGTAGCACAAATGTACAAAACAAAACAAAACAAAAAAAGCCTTAAGATGTTAACTCTCTTCTAAGTGATAAAAATACTTTGAGAAAAGTATTTTCTATACTTTCTAAAATGTTTATAAAATGGCTCATATGAGCTCCAATTGCTTATAGGCTAATGTTTATTGAGCACTTAACTCCGTAATTTCAGTTGGTCCTCACAACAATCATATGGGGGCAAGATCTATAACTTCCTCTATTTTACATAAGGGAAAAGTGAGGCCAAGAGAAGTTAGATCACACACCTGGCAAATGACAGAGTAAGTACTCAGACTTCGCTCTCTATGGCTCTACAGCTGACTTTCACTTTTAAGTTCCAAAAGCAATAAACTTTATATTCTTCCTTGGCTTCATCCTAAACGTAGACTCCAAAAATGTTATGTTACTGCAAAACATTAACCTTCATTTGTGTATTCATATTTTGATCCTGGGAAGACAACAAGCCTGCAGAAATGGCTCAAAAGTCCAGACCACCTGAGGCAGTAAATTCCTTACTTTGAGGACATGAATGAATTCTTACAGACCACTGAGTAACTTGTTTCATCCCTGGGGCCTCCTTCATCCTGTCCAGCTTTTGCTTTCTGTTAGTCTTCTCATTGGCTGACCTGTTGAATCACAGAACCCCCAGGTTGGAAGGACCACAGAGCCCATGTGGTCAAATGTCCCATGTAAGGCTGGAGGACTCTTTAAACTCCCCCAGCAGGAGGTACTCTTAACTATCCCTTGAATACTTCTCCAGGGCAATGCTGCCATTAACACCATGATCCAGCTCTTCGCGGGGACTGTGCTCTTGCTTTGAGGGAATTTACAACAACCTCATTATCTGCAGAGAAAAATAAAGCAAATACAATGCTGTCCTTACTTCGCTCTCAGAAAAACAGTTTCAATGTGCAGCAGTAAACTGCTTGTCCAGCACATTCAAGACATACTAGCATCTAACTGTGGCAGAGAATGTTGCTGATACTCGGCCAAGAAGCATCTAGCATCAGGCCCAGCTGCCTCTGACCACAGGTACTTCTTCAGTCAGCTTCTGCTCCAGTCTTCCACATCTCAGCAAATGACACCTGCATCCTAGCATTGCTCAAGCCAAAAACCTAGGAGTTATTCTTGTTGCCTCCTTCTTCCTCACCCCCACAGACAATCTGCCACCAAATCCTGTTGATTATACCTTCAAAATATATCTCAGTTTCATCTACTTCTATCATCTAGTCATGTCCAAACAACTATCATTTTCCATCTGGACCCCTGATCTCCCCTACTTTCACAATACTCCCCCCAAACAAAGACATGCACACACAGAAACACACACACACACACACACACACACACACACCCCACAATCCATTAACCATCTAATACCCAAAGTGATCTTTTAGAAAAATATGCTAGGTCATATCACTTTCCTGCTTAAAATCCATAAATGGCTTTCCATTGCCTTCATATCATTAAAAATCCTCCCTGATACTTCCAAGGCCCCAGACACCTCTTGGCTTCAACTTGCACCACTCTTCACCTCATTGATCATATTTCAGTGTCAACAGACAGCTTTCATTCCTGCCTGCCTTGGGGCTCTCATCACCCACCATCCTGGAATAGTCTCCCTGCATGACCCATCTCCTTTCCTGATCTTTGTTTGGCTGGTTCCTATTCATTCTTCAAATGTCAGCTTAAATGTCCCTTCCTCAGAGAGGTCTTCCATGATTTCCCAACCTACATTAGCTCCCTGTAGAGGCCAGGGCTCTTCTCTTGAAACTAACAAAAAACAAACTTTCACCAATTTAATTAGTTTTTTTTTCTTAGATCAATAAACAAAAAGGAATTTTTGACCTACAGCGCTGAGAAGTCTAGAATTGGTCTTGCTTCAGACACAATAGGTCCAGCACTCAAATGATGTCATCAGAACTGGGTTCGACTCCATCTTTTCATTCAATCTTATATTCAAAGAATATTTATGGAGTATCTAGTAGATACCAGGTACTGTTCTAGGTGTTGGGATATATCTGTTAAGAAAAAAAAAAAAGATAAAAATTCTTGCCTTCATGGAGTTGTCATTCTAGCTGACAAGGACCAGTAAAGATAGTAAACAAGATAGTAAAGATTAAGATAGTAAACAAGTATACTATATAATAGATAATGTAGAGCAAGATAAGGCAGATTGGTACTGTAGAGAGAGGGAAGGGGTATGAAATTTTAAATAGAATAGACTTCAATGAGAAGGTATTGTTCAAGCAAAGATTGGGAGGTGAGGAAGCAAGCCATGTGAATATCTGAGCTGGTGGGCCATCCAGGCGGAGGGAATGGCTAGTAATAAAGCCCCATGCAAGAGTGTGTCTGCCATCTGCCAGGACCAGCAAAGGAGCAAGAGTGACTGGCATGGGTGAGGGAAGAGAGGAAGAGGTCACAGGGAGCAGGAGGCCCATCCTAGAGAGCCTCATGGGCCATTGGAAAAAATCTGACTTCTAAAAGAATCATTCTGTGTTGAGTGAAGATTTCAAGGGAGGGCAGGAGTAGAAGGAGGGACCAGTTAGACAGCTACCGCAGTCCTCCAAAGGAGATTCACAGTGACTTGGACCATAGTGAGAGCAGTGAAATGGTGAGAAGGGGTAGAATCTGGACACATTTGACAGACTGGATGTGGGGTATGACAGATGCCTGGAAGAAAGACTTCATTTTCCAGTCTCTCCTGATGGTAGGTGGAGTCATCTAATTCTAAGTCTTGGCTCTTGGGACATAAGCAAAAGGAGGTGGACAACTTCTTAAAGGAAGGGGCATACCCTCCACTTTGCCTCTTACCTCTCCTTGCTGGCGATAGTCAGCTGTAATACCGGTGGCCATCTTGCACGTTGCCATCTTGGATCCCCCCAAGGGAGCCAGGGAGTGTCCCAGGGAGGAGCTTTCACAGCAGCCCCGGTCTGCCCATGCGTGGCTTCTTGAGACATGAGAAAGGAAGACACTGCTGTGTATCTGAGCCCTTTTACTTTAAATCTCTGCACAAGAGGTCAATGTTTACCATACCTAAGAGCATGGATGTGTGATCTTTATCTCACACGTGCCAACAGGATTTTATCTTGCATGTGAAAGTCTAGGTCAACCCAAGGGAAATATTGTAATGGCAGAAATTAAACCTTTTAGAAGTTACAAAAAGTTGGAAGTGTGAATACCTTACTTCTCATAATGAACTATTTAGTTCACAAAATTTTTTTTTATTTAAAAAAAAAATTTTTTTTTTAATAGTTGACATACGATGTTATAGTCATCTCAGGTTTACAACATAGTAGTGTGACAATTCTATGCCTTCACAAAATACTTTTAACTACATTACTTTCTTTAATTCTTGAAACAACACTGTGAGTAGAGTATTATTCTCCACTATATTGTGATCACCCAGTGGGTAGGGACGGTATTTTAATCATCTTTGTATCCACATCCCCAGTGTATTCAGTCCAGGCTCTAGCACCCAAATGTGTTTAGTAGATATCTGATTAATAAATACATTTGCAGGGCACCTGGGTGGCTCAGTCAGTTGAGCATCTGCCTTCGGCTCAGGTCATGATCCCTGGGTCCTGGGATTGAGTCCCAAATCCCACTCCCTGCTCAGTGGGGTG